CTGACATTAGACAGCAAGTTTATTTTTCAGTTCTTCTAGCAGTGGCCACTGAGCAAACATTTATTTGAAGCACTAAATCTCCCCAGTCAAGCTCAGTCCTTCAAAGGCTGTTCGCATCATACATGTTAACCTATTCACTTCCCTGGACAGTTTGGCTTATAGGTAAGGCTAGCATCATTGCTAGCAGAGCAAATAAGTTGAATGAAATAAATATTGCCATGCTCAATACTGTATGAGTTGCAGCAGGTAAAGAAAAGCATTACCACAACACCAGTTACTAATGTAGATTTGTAAATTCCACACAAGCTTGCCATTTCTGATTACCACCCATTCCAAGATATCCAAGTGCATGCTATACAATTACCCAACACCAAATCAATGCTGAATGATTACTCCAGTTTTTCCACTTTCCACCAGCTTTCAAATACAGTCTGTAGTTTACTATTGCACACTCCTGAGCAGTTGGTTATTTGAGGCAGAGTAGTAATCAATCTACAGCCTCACTGCAGTCTGCTCCATTTAAAAAGCATTATTAATGGTGTGACTATCGGTGCTTTGAATCATCATCGACTTGGCTGCAGTCAAGATGCACATTTCTAATTAGAAATTACTCATTCTCCCTAGATTACCTTTCTTCAATCTGCCTCACTCCCAAATGTACTGAAGTGATTCAGAACTGTGCAGATATCAGTGGGCAGCTGGAAGGATAAAGAGATCCAAAGAGCAGACACCACATTATCAGCCAAACTGAAGAAGAAAGTCTCTTTACTTTTTTTCCAAATAATACAATATTGTCTAGAGCTTTTACATCATTATCCTTACATGATTAAAATCAGCTAGGTGAGCTTGATACTTGAAAGCTTCCAGATGGCAGCTTGGTAGACAAAGATCTTAATACACACACACAGAGAGATATATACATACAACCAAGCATCACCCTGGACTATTCTTCAGCAAAAAAGGGAGGGAGACTGGTCTCTCTGCCCACAGCTTCCCAAAATAAACCAGTGCTGTAGTAAGTGCATCAGGCTATGATAGTATTACAACCATTAACAGCACTGTCAATCACTAAATTTGAAATTGCCTGTTTTGTTGGCCACGAGAGGGAGTCCACAGACTCTCCATCAGACCCTATTGCAACTCTTCCATTGGGGTGAGGAAAATTTGAACCGTTTCTCTGCTTTAGCTCATTAGCTGTGCACCCCTGGAGCAACAGCATCTAAAGAATTAGAAAAGACACAGCTTGGACTATATAACACCTCTCAGAGTATATTAATGCTGGCACTTCCAGGGTGTTTTGGGGTTGTTTTTGTTAATTCACACACCAGTACTTTTAAGCAGATGGGGAAAAAGCATGTTTTATTGAAACAGTCCAGAAGGATTCCTACAAGCTAATGGTTTTTCTACTGGTATTAAAGTAGATAAAGGAAATCAGTCCCTTTCCAAATCAGCAGCACATGTCCTGAACCAGTGCTCCTCCCATCTCTAATCAATAGGAAACTGGATCACATGGGAGTGCTTTACAACGTGATTACCTGAGCACCTCAAACCAGCTGCATCTCAAATATTACTTGTGAAATAAAAAGCACCACCAAACACAAAACAAAACAAAAGAGACCGAAAAAAGCCCCAAACATGATGCAAGATCTTTTAACACAGATTTGTTTCTGGTGTTTGACTCCTCAGGAACCAATAGATAAACAAGACTCGATGTCTTCTGGCACTAGTTCTGCCACTTTATCCTGGTCAGAAACAATATGTACTAAATTAACAAAAGTGAAGCTCCAAATGCACTGGTTTCAGCGTACAGCTACCACCAGCACTAGGTGAATACTGCCTAAAAAGGAAACAGGATATGAAGCTGCATTCAGTTACTAGTCTTGAGAGGAGCTGGGTAGGACTGAACTAGCACAGACACCACTTCTCCAGCAGTGGAAGCTTAAAGACAGCTCCTCTCCTTTACTTTATAGTTAACTGAGTAACAAGGTCTGAGCAATAGGACATTTTGCATCTTAGAAGTGCACATCTTCTCTAAGAAGTTACAGTTAGAAAGCCATACTACTCCCACATAAGCTGCATCAAATCCAAATCACTGTTATTGATGTCTAGTCAAAATAAGCCAGCCCTACTACCTTGACAGAACAGAGACACAATGATAAGTTCTTCTTCTTTTGAAGACCACCTGCTAGGAAGCTAACAGTTCAGAATTCCTCAAGATAACACACTCAGGAACAGTACAGTCTCATCCTGTTCCACACTTCAGGCCATTTGTTGCAAAGTATCTTAATTGATTTCCACAAAGCAATGACCACCTGTTCCCACAGCTTTCAGCAATGGGAAAAATCAGCAACCATTAAAGAGTCCTTCTAAAGGCAAGTTTCAGCAGTGGGACTAAAGCCCCAAACCAGATTTAAACCTTACATATATATATTCAAACCCACAGCATATCAAGCTCACTTAGTATTGAAAGAATCCTCGTTTACAAGTTACTCAGTTATTGCTCTTCCATACATATATGTATTTAGGTACCACAGCTAAACAAAAGCACCTGTATTGAAGTTCCAATACTAAGCATTAGTTGGAATCATAAGTGCTTAGGCTTCTAGCACCCAAACATGAGCAATTTTAAGACTACAAAAGCCATCTTAGCAAACAAATTAAAGCTCCTGATAAAATCTAGTGTGCTATACATTCCAAGAAGTGGCATCTACTGTAAGGAAACATTCTGGTCAACTTCTTAAAGGAATATTGCTGAAAACTAACCAGAACTATGGAACCCAAGTCTTGAGCAAACTGGCAGAACAACATACTTGAGCCTCTACCATAATCTTTCCACCACATGCTGTGAGGTGCTCAGATACTGAAATACAGTGGGAATCAGAAGTGTACCACAGACGGGACTGACACAGCCACCTCACATTTAACAAGTTACACATCTTACACCACCTCGCAAATCCCGATCCAGGCAAAGGCCTTCCTGCCTTGCCCTTACCTCCCGCAGAACCTGCACCTCCCACTCTACTTCAGTGACCAAGAGCTCCGTGCACAGCTCAAAGAGGGAAGGGGAGAGAGCCCACCTTTGTGTAGCGATGTGGGTACTTGGTTGTAATTCTATTCAGCTCCAGGAAAGCATCACCATTTTCAGTCTCTGTTAGGCCTCCTCTTTTATCCATGATTACTTCAAAGCCTCTGACCACGGACCTAATTAAAACAAAACCAAGCCGTCAAGATTTTAAGGCATATATTTCCAGAGGGTGCCTCTTCCTTCCAGCCTATCTGGGACCTGGCTACACCAGATAAGGAACGCGTTTCCCCACACTGCCTTATTTCTGCCTGTAGCTTCCCCGCCCCGACCAAGCAGGTCCCGCTGAAGTGCCCGACCCGCTCCCGAAGCCCGGCCGGACCGGATCGCAGCCCAGCTCCCAAAACTCTTTAGCACAACAAAGGTCCTTCCGTGGGCACGACCGGGACAAACAGCGGCGACCATCAGGGTCGAGGGAGCGGGGCCGCCGGGACACCCCCACCCCGCGTGGCGTGGCGGCGGGGGCAGCGCGGCCCGCGGCGCGGCCGAGGCCCCGTCCCGAAGCACCGGAGTCGGGGCGGGAGGGTACGGACGGCGACAGGGCAGGTGACTCAGCGGATCCTCACCTGCACCGGCAGCCCCCCCCCGGCCCCGGCGGTCGTACTCACCGCTCCGGCGGCGGGTCTCCAGACGGCGCTCCGCTGAAGGCCTTAGAGCCGCCCGCGGCGTTTCCTGCTCCCGGCCACCGGCTCCGCTTCGCCCCTGCCCGGCCCCCCCCCCCCGGCGGCGCCCTGCACCGTGCTCAGACCCCCCCTTTACGCGCCACACGCGCCCCGGGCCGGCGCCGTCCCCCTCCCGCCTCCGCTCAGCGCGGCTCCGGCCCCTCCGCGCTGGCTCGCGCGCCCGCTCCCTATTCGCCCGACTCTGTCTCTCCTCAGCCGCCGTAACCGGGGCCTTCCGCTGCCCACCCCGCACCCCTTTAATGGCCCGCGCGCAGGCGCGGCGGCGGGCGCGCGCACCGGGGCTCCCCCGCGCGGCGCCTGACCGGGAAAGGCGGGCGGCGGCGGGGCCGCGCTCTCCCCGTTGCCTGGCGGCTGCGTCCCCGCCGCCCGCCGGATCGCTCTCTCACCTTGCGAGCGCTGCGGTAGATGAGGAAAGGCTCGGGGCTCCCCAAGGGCCCGCAGGCATTCTCGGCGGGCAGCCCTGCGGGGGAGGCGGCCGCCGGGAGCAGCGGCGGCGGGACGTGGTGCGCGCCATGTGCCGGGCGCTGGGCACCGAGAGGCGGTAGCGGGGCCGGGTCCGACCCCGCAGCTGGCAGCGGACGTGTTCCCGCGCCGCCGCAGGCCCGCTGCTGTGGAGAAAGCGCGGGGGGGGGGGGAAAGGGCGGGAAGCGGCGGCTGGAGCGCGGCCCCCTCAGCGTTCGGGGCCGAGCCGGCAGCGGCGGCGCAGGCGGGAGGCGCGGCTGACAGCTTCGTCCTCGTCCCGCACCGCACGTTCCGCGGAGTAAATCACCTGCTGGGCACGGACCCCTGCCACTGCCCGCCTGCCGCCGAGCGCCTTTGCCGTTCCCGCCCTGCGTGGCCCGTCCCGGCGGGGGGCGAGGTCTGACGGGGCCGGCCCTTGATGTGCAGCAGCAGCGCGGGGCCCTGGCACGCCGCCTGCCAGCTGGTCTGTGGTTTAGAACACCCTTCCTCAGCCTCTGCTCACAGAACTGGCGTTCCCATGGTCGGTGTGGGCCATCCGCACGCACCTGACAGGTCCTGTAGTTGTTGCTAAACCACGCAGCGGAGATTGCTCACACCGTCAGTTGGAGGAATTCACTTAGTGAGGAATTCACTTGCTCCGTTCGCCAGCGGCTCGGTCCGGGAGCAGTATTCCCAGCGCCCGCACCCCAGCACCACGCACACCGTGCAGCTGGGACCCCGGTTTTCCAGACTCCTCAGGCAGAGAGGCAGGAGTGAGGACAAGGATACACTGGTAGGGTCTGGTGAACAAAACGTTTTCTTCCTTGATCGCTAATGAGGTTGAATGCCAGCATTACAAACCGTTTGCCTGTGGAATCAAATAGAAATAAACGTTTCCCGGTTTCCCCTCGAGTGACAGGGCGCTGGGTCACAAGCGCTGTGACTCTTTACAGCTTCTTCTAGCGGCTTTGCTCTCTAAGCAGATACCTGCTGAGGGGTGATGGTAGCCAGCAGCCGAGCTGAGGGCCGAGGGCCGTTGTGAGGTGCTGCAGGCACTGCCCTTGGGACGCCGGAACGCGGTTGTGTTTCCCTGCAGCCTCTGTACTCGTCGCCACTTTCTGTGTTCCCCAGGCCGGTCCATGGTGAGACGCACGTTACCGGGCAATGGCTGTGGAGCCGCCCAGGGGCACAGAAGTGGCCGCGGACCTCCAGCCCTTCGGTGCCATAGCGAGCTCAGCCCCTTTCCTGCCGCTCGGCGTTGCGGCTTATGCCCGAGGTCGGTCAGTTTGTCTTGGCGGTGGCTGCGGCCCTGGGGCCCGGGGCCAGCGCAGCCTCGGCCCTTACCGGCGCGGCGGCGGCGGCGGCGACAGCGGCGCGACCGGGCGCACCTCCTCGCCGCCGGGTGGCGCTGCGGCACCGCCGAGCGGGTCGGGGGCGCTCCTGCCGCTCTTCGCAGTGGTGGGCGGGGCCTGTCCCGTTCTGCGCTGAGGCACGGGAGGGGCAGGGCCGCCTCTTTCGGTTGCGGCCTTTCCCGGCCCCTGCTGCGGGTTTCTGCCGCTCCCCCCGTGCGGAGCCGGCTGGCGGGGGCTGTGCAGGCGTGTGCGGGAGTGGTGACGTCTCCGTTAGGGAGGGCAGAGCAGAGCCCCCGGACTCCCGCTGTGGAGTGTCGGCTTCCGTGTGGCGCTGAGGGGCCGCAGGGGCCTCCCAAGGGGCGCGGTGCTGGTGGTGCCTTCGCCCGCCCGTCACGGCTGCCGGCCGGTTCCTTGGGTGGGTGGCCCGGGAGGCCAGCGCTGTGACCGCGGCCTCCAGCCCCTGGCGGAGGGGTTCAGAGCAATACTGCGCGGTCCTTGAGTCCTTAAGCACAAAAAGGCGTTCAGGTTACAATTCTCGTACGTCGAAAGGAATTTTGTGCAGGCAGACTGATTGACTGCTGTAAGTTTTGGGTATTTTTCTCTGTCACTCCTTAAACCTTGCGCTTAGGAGGAGATTGCTGGTCGTAAGTTCAGGTGCTCTCGCAGTCTTGCTCTCCATGAGGCCTCTGGAAAGTTCTGCATACTGGAGCTGGGTGGAATTCATTGTTCTATTAATTTCTGTGTGCTTGTGAAAGGAGAGAGGCTTAGGAGGAAGAAAAAGTGAAAAGGAGTCTGTTTAGGTACTGGTTTTATCACCTTAGATAATGAATTTGTTTCTAAATAGGAGAACATAACTTAGGGTCATCTTTTTATAGCATATTTCTAGCACAGTTTTATTCAGGCAGGTGCTGCTGTCTTAGAATTCAACCGGTTATGACTTTCTGACCAATAGATAATGTCAGTGCAGTGTTGTTCAGGTCAGTAAGGCTATGAGTGTGCAGACAGGTAGATGCTTCTTGTGCTAAACATCTAGGATTGCATTATGTTACTTGTACTCAGGTCAACTGAGTGGCGTTCCTGTTAGTGTTAAGATACAGACTGCATTTTGTATAGGGCTGTTTGATGGGTTTGTCACAAGTAACAGGAAGAAATTTATGCTTTGTCCAGAGCTAATATACAACATTGCAATGCAGAGAGTGTATTTGGTTACTGCAGACTTGCACCTAGAGCAAAATGAAGATACCCAGAAGCAGTTGAGCACAAATAAGATGCTACTTTGTTAATGACCTCAGCTGTGATTTTATTTGTTCTTTAATTATGACATTTTAAGCATTCCATGAGACAGAAGAAAGTTGAGACCATCTCATATAAGGGTGTCTGTGAAATGTTACTAACCAGAAAGTGTTCCTCTTAAAAACCAAATGAAAAAACAACAAACACACCACCCTGAAACCCATCACTAAACACAACTTTATGTGGGTTTACATTATCATAAGTCAAACACAAAAATGATGTTCTGTAGCCTGAGGTGTATTACACTAGAACATAAGATATTTGGATATAGTTTTGGGCCCAACCACAGGTTTATTCCGTGGTGGTGTCAGTTTTCTTGCTCTTCGCATGAATTTATTTTCTAATTTTACAGGGGATAAATGATCTTTGAGTCTCATTTTTCATGGTGACTTGTTGTAAATCCTTACAGACATGGGCTGTCATCACTAAATATATGTAGGATATAAAGAGTGTTTCAGATGAAGGAATGATGTGTTTAAAATTACATATGTTGGACAATCCTTAAGTATTCACATGCCTCAAACCTTAATGTGAAACTTTTACATGTTCTACCCAAGCTTGATTTTTTACTGTTTTGTGTTCCATTGTCATTGTAGATGGTCAGATTAGGTTTGCTTTTGGAGCACATTAGATGGTTTTAAAGGGTTTGAGCATAATACATCAGTACAGGAACTCATGGTGAAAGCTGTTTTACATATATTTAATAGTATCTGAAACTTTTTCAGCAACGCATACAGTTGCCTTAACTGTACCTCTTAATGTGAACAGAATTATTTTGTCAGCTGGATAGGCTCCTCTTCTTTCAGACAGTTAATACTATAGGAGAACAAGAATTTCTCTCTCACACAAAATATAGGTCTTCCTTTCATTAGCTTCAGTTTAGCTCCTTGCATCTTGCTGGAACAAGCCCGAATACTGTATTTCCTTCTCTGAGATACTGTGTGTGTGTGGTTTTGTTGTTCTCCACCCCCAATGATTTGTTGTTAACACTGTGAGGTTTATTCAGCTGAGCTCCTGAAAATTGCTTGTATGGATTATTCCAATAACTGTGGAATCAGCATTTTTTTCTGGCTGTAGCCATAGTTTTCCTGCTCAGTTCAGGTGATTATTAGATTTCAACTATCCTCTTCGCTTGCCTCCTTAAACAGCTCAAGAATGTGTTTGTGGTTCTAATGTGCAAATTTTCAGGGTGGTGGCAGTATTTGTTTTGGGAAAGAAGCTTCAATACAACTGGTTCAGCGGGTTTTATCTTTTTTTTTTTCATTCTTGTTTTCAGGAAATTGCTGAGACGGAATACTCAAGAGTTCATAAAAACATACTTGTTTTTCAGATTAGAGCTATGTGTGAAAGTAAACTGTGATGGGAAAATATACCAAATTTTGCTTTTTGATGATAAATAGGTAAAAAACTAGAAGGGATTTTTAGTTCTATTAAAGCAACACGTTTAGTTAAAATATGAGCAAAGCTAGAATAGAGCTCCTTGGAAAATAACTTTGTAAATGCATTTCCTGTTAAAATGAGTAATTATCACTTCAGTTCCCTAGTCCTCAAGAGAATTCATCAGCAATAGACAGAGTATGTTGATATGTTTGAGGAAAAAAAGGCAGAAAAACATATTCAGATGTTCTCTGTAAAGGCACACTGTATGAACACACATGGGAGGGGAAGCACAAATGTATGTTAGTGCTTTTTCGTTTCAATTTTAGAGGAGAAAGGAATTGTCTGTGACGTGGTCGCACTGAAATACGTCTTCCTGCTTGTCTTTGGGAAACAACCTTAAAATTCTAGATAGTGAAAAATGCCTGATAAAGAGATAAAAAATGTGTTTTAATGTTTCATAGCCGGCAACTTCTAGATGTGATTGTATAGCTTCATTAGAGATTAACTTGTTGAAATCATGCCACTTGTTTGAAGTTAATATATTTACACACATAATATTTCTTCTTTCCTTTTAAGTTCAAAATCTCTGAAGATGCAGAAGATGCATATGAAGATATATGAAATCCAACAACTACCTGGGCATGAGATGCACGCAGCTGAGCAATCCATTGCTCCCCTGTCTGCCAGACATCAATTTCATGACACAGATGAGAGTTTGGATCGAGTTTGGTATACCTGGCGTCGAAGGAGAAGGGCAAAAGAATGCCAAATCAGGTGATAAACACAAAACATAATTTTCACTGAATGGAGCAGGGGGATCAGACCTGAAGAACTCTGGTTTTAGTAGTTTAAGTGCAGGCTAAGGCAAAGGTTTTTGTTCACAGGCATGCCAGACAGTTCTGAAGGTACTTGTGGTAACTTGAGGACATGCATTGGCACAGTCAAATTTCATAAATTTTTTTACTTTCTAATGTAGAAAGACTAATGATTTAATCTTGCCCACCTCTTGTGTTTCTTTTGTTTGTTGAAGGAATCTTGACAAAAGTGGGATGGCAATTCTTTAGAGATTAAAAGCCTAATATGTGTTGAACAACTGGAGCTGATCCAGCAACTCAGCCCTGCTGAAAGAGGCAGGGCCTATTCATGACTCTGTGCTTTAATTAATTACCTTGATGTCTTTGGTGCTTATTGGGGCCTTCTGTGTGTCAGTTAACTCTTAAATCTCTTTGTGGAAATAAAAAAGGGATGGTGAGGGGGGGAAGGTGACAGCCTCACAGCCACAGATTAGTGAGTTGAACTGGTACAAGGAGAAGCTGGGTGAGAAGTAGGACTGCTGTGGGGGAGGTAGGAAGGAGAGCTGCTGGTTTCAGGCGGGAGTAATCATTAGGCTGGCTGCTGTGGAAACAAGTCTGACTCGGTTGACTTCAGGGAGACAGTGATGTTATTGCTTCTAAATCACAGAAAGGCCCCCCAGTTAATTAGCAGCTTCCTCAGTAGTATCAAGTGGGTGTAAGTGGACTGCTTGGAAGATGTTTCAGCAGGCTGGGTTTTCTAAGGAAGTATGTCCCAGTGTGTCTTATAATGATGCAATTTTGCTTGGTGAATAGTCCTGTTAATGGTACTGATTTCATGGGGTAAATATTTCATATAGGCATTGATCTTTGAAAACCAGATCCTTGGTATTATTACTGAAACTAGCATAAAATTTCTTACTTTACTGCTGCCTTGGAACTAATAGAGGAAGAGTGCAAAGGCAACTAACCTTTCCTTACATTCCAGGTATCTGGCAAACAAATTCTTCTATATATGGGCAAAAAAGACATTTGGACAAGTTCTCCCTTCCAAAGCCAGGTAGATAAAATTACAGAAGTTGAGTGGGGGCTTTTCTTCCCTTTTTAAATTTTTTTTATGTCTTAGTGCTGTACCATTGGGCCGAGAGTACTGGCTGCACAGAAAATACCTGGATGGATGTCTTAGAGATCACTTGAAGGTTTCCACTGAATACTCTTCTTCCTCCTGTTTTTTGACTGTTTTTGATAATCATGGTTTAACTTTACAAACTAAACTCATGGAATCATGGTTGTCTTGATGTAGTTGAACTGTATGTGCATATAAACACTGGGGTAGGGTTGTGGTACCTGCTTTGAAATGAATAATTTTTCAAAGTTACAACTAGAGGTCTTGCAGTTCAGTTCATTTTAGTGTTTGCACTGTGTTCTGAATGTGTATTCATTTATGCTTTGTAACTGTCTAAAATACCTGTGGCAGAGAATTTGTTTCTGTTTTTAGCCTCCTGTCAGCTACTGAAACCCAACACTTGGATACTTCCTTCTTGTTTTGCTTTAATTTGCATGTTCATTCTTGTTTGACCACACCCTTGGGAATTGCAGCAGTTCCCAGTGGGAAGACCTGTATTTGTTACAGTCAGAATAAGATCAGGCCCTT